GTCTTCCCCAAACAGTCTGGCTCTGGTTCTCCCCTTGGAGCCACATCGTGGGCACACGTCGCTGCAGGGAGCTTTCTTCTCTGCGGGAGCCAGGGAGGCCTTTGAGACGTACTAAGTGCCCGTAGACCAGTGTTGTATAACATCTTATATTAAGAAAGTTGGCAGGAGCCCATGGGTCCTGCTCTTTGCAGTGAGCAAGCTGCTGATGTCTGCAGAAATCTTCTTGTTTTCCTTCCCTGAAGATGGCTTTTATTCCTTTCTCCAGGAACACCCCTGTCTTGCTCAGGGAGCTGCTTTAGCAGGCTCCAGTTACAGCGGCTTCTGGCACCAGCTTGCAGTGCAGCCTCCTTTAAAGGTGTCCTGGTTTCGGCTGGGATGGATTTTCTTACCGATTCTCTCCCCCATCCCACTGAGCCGGGGGGAGTGAGCGAGCAGCTGTGTGGCGTTTAGCTGCCTGCCGGGTTAAACCACGACAAAAGGTTAATTTACAAAGCCAGGGTTGGGACAAGGTGAGGGAGGGCTGCGAACTTGTGCTAGCCATTGCCTGATCCTGCCTCTATGATCTCTGGAGGCAGAAAGAGCCAGGAAACTTTTGCACAGCACTTCCAGCCTGCGGTCTGACTAATGACGATGTTCCTTTTCTTAAGTCATTCTGGTGACACCCAGCTCGTCCTGCTGGGAAGTGGGAGCGTGTTGCTTGCTGATTGAATACTAGATACTGCTAAGGGAAGTCATAGCAAAGGATTCACTGGTACAACAAGCAGCAAAATAATCATAATGCCTGCCTAAAAATAGACTGAGGAGAGCTGAGCTCGCCTGTTCCTAGATGTGACCTTAAAGGAAGCACAGCCTGATGTGCTGCTGTGTCGCATGAAGTATTTCAGACTGATTCTCCCTCACTGCTCAGCAGTGAGCACTGAACTCAAATGTCCCCCTGCTCGGGGAGTCGTGCAGAGCCGTACCCTTTCAGCGTGCCTCTGGCTGCGGTGGAAAGGTCTCCCAGGTCAGGACCTCAGGTTAGCTGGGCGCAGGGTGGTTGGAGCAGGGGCTGCAGCGACCATGGTGGTTTCCTTAGGTGCTGCCCATCACAGCGCCTGGGAAAGGACTGTTCATTGCATGAGGAGAGTCTGGAAACTGGGTATCCTCAGGAGCCTTGTCCTCGAGCAGAGAGAGGGTTGTGGCTGTGCCTGAAATAACTGAGCAGCTTTCATTTGTGCACCTGGGAGCTGGAGAACATGGCTAGCTTGTCTTACCAAGCTGTCAGAAACGTTAAGGGGATTTTTATTGACTGGAAAACAGTTTTTTTTCCCCTTTGAGGAAAAACGGTCCCAGTTCATCCATCTCAAGCACTTACCTGCCTCCTGTGATCACGGTTTTCTCTCAAATGGTTTTTCAAGGGAGTGCAGCTTGAACATGGTATTGCAAAGGACCTGGCAAGAAACTGGAATTTGTTGGCTCGGTGGTGAAGGCAAGCAGCACAAAGGATGGAAAAACAAACAAAAATAACTGAAGTCCTTCTCCACAGGGAGTTATTAGTCATGCAGGTAGAGTGACTTGTATTTGCTGTAAGGTGTTGGCCGATACTGTTCCTTGTCCTAGAAGGAAATACGTGTCCTGTTGGCTAGTTAGCCTGATGGTCAGACACTGTCAAGGAGAGCGCTGCGAGAGATGGAGCCCATTGCAGGTAACATTTGCAGGAAGAAAGCTGCGAGAGCTGTGACTGTTAACATGTTCAGCGCAGCAGCCAGCTGTTGAGAGTGCGATTCCAGCCGTGCTCAGTGTCCTTTAAGGAATATGGCAGTCAGGCAATGTGGGAAGCGAGAGTTATTTTGGACACAGGGCCTTCTTGCAAAACATTCATGAAAATAAAGAATCGGGCAATGAGGTTTGTGTAGCTTGCAGGGTTTTTTTAAATGCAGTTGTGAGGTTTTTTGGGGGTGGTTTTGTGTTTTCATGGAAGCCAGCTGCTCTCCTTTAAGACTGCTTACCCTGCAATTACCCTTCGTTTTTTCCTAAATAACCATGGCTGCCTATTCTGCCTCGTGCCCAAGGGAGCTGACTTGACTGTAGAGCCAGAGTAGTTATTAAATACCTGAGTAATGTAGGTGCCAGGTGAGGGCACGCATCTCCTCGGAGAGGTAGGGGGGAACGGAGACCACGGTGGGCTGCGTTTTGGAGCTGGCAGGATCAGGGAGCAGCAATGCCTTGCTCCAAAATGTATTTGTAAGACACACATGTAGGGAATGGCTCTCAGCTGAGACTGACCGAACTTCAATACTCGATTCTGCCAAAAACTGCAAGTATTGGGCAAAGTCTCTTCA